AAAAAAAAAAAAAAAAAAAGACACCCTATATATTGAGAGTGTCGGTAGAGAGAGAGTGTGGATATCTTTTTGTGTCATATCTCGGTTTTACCCATATGAATAGTTTGTTTTCTTTTTAGTTGTAGTAGGGAGGGCAATTTAGTAATTAAAAGTTAAAAAAAATGTCAGGCAAGAATTTATTTTATCAAACGCTTTCTTATTTCTTAGTTCTCGGTTTTACAGACGCTTCCTTTCTTATTACTCGGCTTCTTCAGTTCTTCTTCTTCAGGTAAATTTCTGAATTCATTTCTTGCATTAGTGATAAAAGAATGAATCTATGGTCGGTTGGATGGGTTGGTTGTTGAAATTGTAGATTAAGGTTCTTAAATTAGAAAAAAGAATCACAAATTCTTGTGTTCTTTGTTCATTTTTTTGGGATAATGGGATTTTTGTCATTATAATTTTCATTGCATATTTTTTTAAAGTAATAATTGAGATTTTTTCTATTGCAATTTCGTTTTTAGGTTGTTTTTATGTTGTGATAGGGACATAGGGTTTAGAAACTGAAGGATTTGATTTCTAATTCAAAATATTTTTTTTACATGATAGATGTTGCCAAAGAAACATTTGTCTGGTTTTCAGAAAAGGAAAAAAAGAAAACAAGAAGATCAATTCAAAGAATCGCAAAAGGATGCTATACACAAGTTTTTTCCATCTTCAAGGAAAGCCGAAGTCAGTCAAGAACAAGCTGATGGCCGTACAGAGGATCAGAATTTAGATGCACAAGCTCAAGCTGATGCCAATGAAGGTGCTACTGCAACAGGGGAGGAAAATTTAGATGTGCAAGCTGATGGTAATGAGGAAATATTGGGAGGTGAAAATTTGCAGCGTACAAAAAATGTGAATATTGATGACCAAGAAGATTCTATGTTGACTACCTTTGATCCTAGAACATGGGAGAATCTTGACAATAGCAAAAGGGATATCTTGATTGAGAAAGGGCCTGTGAGAGAAATGAATTTACAATTCCCTAGTGATCCTAGTAATAGGCGTTTTTCATATGCTTATTACTCCAGAAAGTTAAATAATGGTGAGGTTGTTGACAGGAAGTGGCTGGTTTACTCCAAACATGTGGACAAGGTCTATTGTTTTTGCTGCAAGTTGTTCAACTCAAATCAGAACAAGGCTTTGTTAGCATCTGCTGGAGTGAGGGATTGGAAGCATTTGAGTGACAAACTCAAACAACATGAGAATAGTCACGAGCATTTGAAAAACATGAATACATGGAATGATCTCTGGATTAGATTAAGCAAAAATCAAACAATTGATGCTGAAATGCAGCGGGAAATTGTAAAAGAGAAGGAGCGTTGGAGACAAGTTCTGGTAAGAATAGTTTCTGCTGTGAAGTTTCTTGCTAAACAAAATCTAGCCTTTCGAGGGACAAATGCAAAACTTTATCAAGCAAATAATGGTAATTTCCTGGCCACAGTAGAAATGATTGCTGAATTTGATCTTGTGATGCAAGAACATATCAGACGCATTCATAATAATGAAATCTATCATCATTATCTTGGCCCTACTATTCAGAATGAGTTAATTGGTATTCTTGTTGATGCTGTGAAACAACATATCTTGAAGATCATAAAAGATGCCAAGTATTTCTCTGTTATCTTGGACTGTACTCCTGATGTGAGCCATGAAGAACAAATGACATTAATTGTGCGTTGTGTTAATATGTCAAGTGCCATTCCAAGGGTAGAAGAATTTTTTTCTAGAGTTCTTAAAAGTTGATGACACATCAGGATTGGGGCTTTTTAATGTATTATTAGATGCATTGCAGTCTCTTGGTTTGAACATTGATGATGTCAGAGGTCAAGGGTATGACAATGGTTCCAATATGAAGGGAAAACACCAAGGTGTTCAGACTCGTGTGCTTGAAATTAATCCAAGAGCATTGTATATGCCATGTGCATGTCACAGTCTGAACCTTACTCTTTCTGATATGGCAAAATCTTACAGAAAAGCTATTTCATTTTTTGGTGTCATACAACGGATATATGCATTGTTTGCACGTTCTACAAAAAGGTGGAAAATTTTGACTGATAATGTTGAGAGGTTCACTGTCAAACCCTTGTCAGATACTCGTTGGGAGAGTCGCACAAAGAGTGTGCAACCTATCAGGTATCAAGCCCCTCAAATAAGATCAGCTTTGAAGGAGGTGGAAAGAACTTCTTCTGATGACCCAAAAGCGGTGAGTGAAGCTGAATCATTGGTAACCGCAATTGAGAATTTTGAATTTTTAGTTTGTATGGTTATTTGGGATGATATTTTATATACTATCAACATGGTGAGCAAAAAGTTGCAATCTCCAATCGTGTGCTTAGATGCTACTCTGAAACAGATTCAAGGGGTGACATCATATTTTCAGAAGTACAGAGACACAGGCTTGAGTGCTAGTATTGAGACTGCAAAATCCATTGCATCTAGTATGAATGTAGATCCGACATTTGCTACAAAACGTCAAGGTAAAAGAAAGAAGCATTTTGATGAACAAAATGATGAAACTGAGGAATTACAACTTTCAGCTATAGTCCTTCAAATTTGAGTACTTGTTATTGTTGATCATGCAATTGCTTCATTGACTAACCGATTTGATCAGCTAAAGAAATTTGAGGAAATATTTGGTTTCTTATTCAACTCAGAAAATCTAAAGTCCTTGGATAATAGTGATCTACATAAGTGTTGCACTATTTTTCTCAACAAGTTTTCTCATGACAACAAGTCTGATGTTGAGTTAGATGATTTGTTCGCTGAATTAAAAGTGTTGCAAGTAACTTTGCCAGATGAATTGATGTCAGCATCACAGATCCTTCACTTTGTTAAAGTTGCAGATTGTTATCCAAATGTCTCTATTGCATATCGGATTCTCTTAACTATTCCTGTGACAGTAGCATCAGCCGAAAGAAGCTTCTCCAAATTGAAACTATTGAAAAACTGTTTGAGGTCAACTATGCTACAAGATAGATTAAATGGTTTGGCTATGTGCAACATTGAGAAGGATATTTTAGATAAAATTGATCTTGATGTTGTTCTTGAAGATTTTGCATCAAGAAATGCCCGAAGACAGTTTTTTAAAAAGAATTGAAGCATAACTTTATTTGAGGTATCCAAAATTTACTATTGTTTTACCTTCTTAAATGTACTGTTTTTTTTATTGGCTAAATATACATTGAAGTTATTTCTTATAAATAGTACTATATACTCCAATTGTTATATTCAATTTTTAATTAGATTGTCAGGCTCTTAGTGTCTTGTTTGCCCAAGGGCCCTCGAAATTGTTGAGACGGCCCTGGATTTCCTCCATTCAATTTGTCTTTTGATGGCATGAAAACTGTACGCATTGTAACCAACTTACTATTTAGAGTCAAATGGGATGATTTAATGTATTGTTATTATTTTGTAACTTTTCTATGTGGTGATCAATGATATGCGCACATATCTGCGGGTTTAAATTAAACTAGTACAGAGCCCGTGCGATGCACGGGGATAATTATCTCTGTCCTTTTTAAAAAGCAAATATCAGTTACAATTCAAAGTACTTACTAACAGAAATATCATGTCATTAATAATATTGTTGGGAAAAACTAATCTATATATTATTGAAGACTTCCTTATATACAACGTTCATGGTTTGATTCTTTGGCACGTCATCATCGCCACAAATTAAGATTTTCAAACCATTTCTGTTAGTGACACGAGAGACAGCAACATACAACTGGCCATGACTAAAAACCGGTTTCTTAAGAAATAAGCCAACATGAGATAATGATTGTCCCTGACTCTTATTTATAGTCATGGCGTAAGAGACCATAATGGGAAACTGACGACGCTGGAACTTGAAAGGAATTCTAATATCAGATGGAGTTATAACCATTCTTGGAATCAACACTTTATCACCTGCGTGATCGCCAGTGAGTATCTTACACTCGAGAACATGAGTGGAGAGCTTCGTCACTACCAATCGTGTTCCATTACACAGACCCATAGAATGGTCCATATTCTGCAACAGCATGACCGGAGTTCCAATCTTCAAGAACAACTCATGATTCGGTATTCCAGAACACTTGATACTATTCAAAAACTCGGGCGTATGCAGATCAGGCAAAAAATCATTATTAGAATCTGATTTGCACGTACTATCCGAGCTCAAGTACGTACGACCATCCGACAAATTCAAAGATGTCATGTACTCATTTATAGAATCGACAACATCTAAAGTAGGAGCTAATATAGCCCTATCCTTCAAATAACTTGGATCGTCGGTGGCCTCCTTAAACATTGGATACGTGCTTTCAACGATTTGAGCAACGGGATCATCAGATGGCTCTAGCAAAATGTCCTCGGGTATGTCAATCATTGCACAACCATCGTTTGACCCCCCTATAGTGCCATCTCCAATGCTAGCTATCCAATCCGCAAACCGAGAGAGCTCATCACGTTCATTCAAATCTTGAAGTCCGCGGAGACGCATGTTTTTAGTAAGCCTTAACACAATACAACTTCTCCATATTTCAAAAGCATTTATGGTAGCATTA